TGTGACACCAAAGGTATCAGTTGTGGCTCATGTATCGGTCCTTCCTAGGGTGGGCTTGGCGATCAGCCCTGATTGGCTGAGATCACAGAATCCGGGTACTCGAGAACACCCGGATTCTGTCCACCACCTNAGATATACCCGTATTCTGACAGAACCACAAAACTTCACTGAAATACAGTGCAATTCTCACGTGCCTTTCGCCCTTGTAAATGTCCGATAAATGTCTGGAAGGGATTACCCTTTCAAGGTGAGCCAGGATCAAACCTGCACGTCTCTACCAGAACACCGGTACCTGCTGCAATCGGTTAGTGCCTCAATAGAAGGCTGCCACCGAAGCAGTAGAATGGCCAAGGGCCTACTACATAGATTGCCCTTGGGCGCACTTCTATTATGATCGTCGTGCGGTTCATGCATTAAGATGCTTATTTGCGCCTACATCCAACGTCGGTTGTAGATATTGAGAGATAGGGGTTGGAATTGCGCCTTCCTACAAGCGAAGTTGGGGGCGAGATAACTTGTTGAATTGTTGAAGCGAGCAGTCTCGCTATCGAGCGATCCTTTTTTTCAATAGACTTGGATATGCATGTCCTGTTCCTGGCGGATTTCGCTTAGCTGCTTACTAAATAGTGGTGTCAAGAAGGTGAATGTAGTTGAAACGTCCTGTTTGCAGGTTCAAGTGCCGTCTAAATGGGGACACTGAACTGTATATTCTTGTATAAACAGGCAGACAGAATAAGAGCCTAACATTATTCTGCACGTTTGCACGTTGTTGGCAGGGCACTTGGTTCATGCCCGACAATCTAATCATGTCCTTCCGATACTTGTCTTCTGATGTGGGCACTTGAGTGGAAACCCCACTGTCCTACAAATGTCCAGTTTAATTTTGCGCATGTATGTGGTATGATAAAGTTATGAAAATAGATTAGTTAAAAAAATGGCAGATTTTTCATCAATATGTTGATTAAATTTGCCATATAGTATGACTCGACAGATTAGGTTCGGTGGCACTGGAAACGGATAGGCATTACGTGAAGCGGTGAACTTGCGTTGAAGTGTGTAAACATGGAAGAGAGGTGCAATCTTCCACACAGAACATAATAATGCCAATCGGATTCTAAGACAATAACCGAGGTGACGTGGTAACAATACGAGGAGTATACGTCGGGCATGTTAATTGTCCGCGGCTTTAAAGAAACTTGACCGGGTCTTTTCTAGATCGGTCAACTTTGAGATCGAAAACGTCGAGTCGTTGATAGCCTCCAACAACATCATGGTACTGTTTTCCTTCGATGCAGTCTTCCAGTCGCATATCGGCGTACAGTATATCTTCTTCAGACTGGAGCGCATCTGCATTTTGTTTTTGTGAGTCTTTGTAGATGAAACTAGGAAGTGGAGCGCCGGTAGGGTCCAGGAAGAACGTGGCAGCTCGTGGCATAGCATGCAAAGTCTCGGTTACCACATCGGGCTGACTCGCGCCATCGACAATTGTCTCAATAGCATCTTCTCCCAGGTGTCCGGAACATGCAACGCCGAAGCACTTGGCTTCGAAGCAATGCGCTGCTGCGCGTGTCCTGTTAGCCGCCAAATTATCGTAGTTAGCTCCACGTGTGCTGGCCTGATGGACGCCACTTTCGGCGCTCGGTGGGATTTTTTGCAATGTTCGCGTCGGCCAAATTGCGGGCCAGGTAGAGATGTGCACTTGTTCAGCTTGTGCAATCATAGAATACCTTGCAAGTGCGTTTGTATTTTCGCCACATATGAGGGTGCCAATTCGCCCAAACTGCGTGCTAGCAACGCGTAACCCATGACCATCTCCAGGGCTCCAGGTCAATTTCTCAAAGAAAGTCGGAACAAGCTTTCGGTGGTGTACAAGCACCTCGCCCTCAGTCCCGATGATCAGGTTCGAGTTGTAGAGGCAGCCGTTGCTATGGCGGGACTTTTCGCTGAAGCCGATGCTGACCAATACACCGCTTGATCGTGCAGCCTCGCGAATCGCTTCTAATTCATCACCATCCGCATAGACTGACTCTTGCACCATACGCTGGAATAGCCAGTGATTATCGGTCGGTGGTCTCAATGAGCTCCAGATTGGGAAAGCAGATATGTAGGTTTCGGGGAAAACGACCAAGTTGGCCTTGTTCGAGGCCGCCTGCTTAACGAGGGCTATGGCCTTGTCTGTTGTCCGACGCGCATTCAGAAAAACTGGAGATGCATGGCATGCAGCCACGCGGAGGATGCTTGCCATTATGCGTGGTGTTATGGCGATGCGAACACGGTGGTGTTGGCGAACATATGATCTAATAAATGCCCCTGCGTCTGATTAGGCGTGCCTCCCCGCATTCTTGCAGAAAACCCGTGTTTGTGAACGTCCCTCATTTTACTGTTACAATGCTTTTCTCAGTCTTCTCAACGTCTCCCATAGTAAGACTGGCGAGGAAAAAAGACAAGCCGGAAGATGCGGATCATTTGACAAGCGCGTGGGACGACTTAAGTGCAACTGACTTGAGGTACATTGCTCGGCCAAATTGACGTCGGAAAAAAATACAGGGTACTTAGCCGCACCTGGCGGCCACATTCTGTTATTGTACTATGCGTTAACGCCACAAAAGTAAGTATTTGTCCCAATCCGACCAGGGTCATCCGGTAAAGGCAGGTCGGATACGAGAAGTGTTGCCACACGGCGGTTCCGGATAGTCCAGGAACGGTGCAGAGGTGAACATGTAGTACGCAGAGTTACATGTTCGATGAGGACATATCTCGGCGGATGATGTGGAGAAGCGGAAGGCAGACTCCCGATGTTTCTAGGCTGGTTTTGACAAATCCTCCGTACCACTGCAGAGTTCCCTGCGCCATGCATGTTGACGTCGCTCGGAGGTGTTTATGTTTTTCAACAGTGTACTCGCGATATCTGTGTAAGATGCTGAAGGAGAAGCAGCTGGCCAGGCGGCCGCATGGGCGTGCTTTGGTTGGAAAAGAGTGCTGACATATGCGGGGTGCCAAGAATTGTAACATCTCCCGCTCGCTTCGACTCGTTACTCGTAACCTACCAAGCTGTCCTTCATAATGTGTAAAACCCTTCAGCCCAAACGCTCGGCCGGACCAGCTGCGACTTTTTTTTGCTGACAGGTGGATGACGAACCTCCGCCTCCGAGCTAGGAACCCACGCGATGATAGCGCTCAAAGCCGACTAGGCTTTACCTCGGACACAGCTGCTGTTTGCAGTGACTACATTATCTGATTCACACCAGGTAAATGCGGCTCAGTTTCTGAAACAGCAGATACCGCCCGTCCAACCAAATAGTCGCCGCTGCGCTACATCTTGCCCATTTGCATGAAACGAACCGCTTGAACTTGCGACTGTGCGCAAGTAGTTGGCGTCTTGTGCTCTGCACTGCCTGCATAGCACCCTACTACTCACCGACATACTTTGCTTGTTCATACGTACGCGCATCCCGCAAAACCCATCGAATCGATTTTGTAGCGCACGGCGCATAACGGCCGTTTATCGCTTGGTTGTGGAGTCAAGCAGGAAGGAAGATTAGATGGGATTGAGGCCGGAGCAAGTGACGCTTTCGTCGCGCTCCGTCCACACCCCGGCCCAGCAATCTCGACATTTGCGCAATGTTTTTACCCAAGCGGACCAATCATCCCCGCATCGTGGCGCCGTTCCGCTGGAGACCAACTTTTGGGGTGGATCTCCCGCGTGCCTGGACTGACAGACCTGTCATAAGCGTCTTCGGACCGATGCCGTTGCAGCCCTCTGGGGCAGCTAATTCATGCTAAACACGAGCGTGGATGCAGCTGCCTCTGGAACATCTTGGCAGCTCCCATGGGAGATAACCTTGTCCACCTTCAGACTTTGGTCAGGACCGCTAACATGGACAAACACCTTGACGGCCCTTCTAGGATGACGCACATATTGGTTTCAAAACGCTATCTTGGCAGACTATACCACTTGCACCAATTTATGGCACACACATGATGAAGAGACAGGGATCGGACCAAGATATGGGATGCAGCCTGTTATCCGGTACATGCAACCCAGTCGAGCCTTTTTTTCTCAGTCGCCCCTGCAATAATCTTACCGACTTGGAGGCCTATGTGATGAAATATAAATGTCTTGAGCCTGCTTCCACTTAGCCACTACCTCACAGTTAATCACCAACTCTCTCACACTCACTGACTTCATCGCCCACGATGCGTTTTTCATTCATTACCTTTGCTACTTGCGCTCTTGCTGCCGCGCCCTTCTTGGAGGAACCTGATACTGGCATTGACCAGCAACTTGCTGCCTTCGTTGCTAATAAAACCGTCCCTCCTCTCAAGTCCCTCGTCGGACTGCCTGATTTCCAATGGGTCGGTCGTAACTTCATGAACGTCTCGTCCTATACATACTACCGCAACGGTGCTGCTGGCGAGTGGTCTTACCGCAACAACCTTGAAGTCTTTGCTCGCTTCCGACTTCGCCCACGTGTTCTACGCGATATCACCAACGTTGCAGCCTCCATTCCAACAACCATCCTTGGTTACAACTTCTCGGCTCCCTTCTTCATCTCCCCATGTGCTCGTGGTGGATATGCCAATGATGAAGGTGAGGTCGGTCTTGTCCAGGGTGCCGCTAAGGCCAACATCCTCTACATGGCCTCGCTCTTCTCATCAAAGACCATGGAAGAAATCTACGCTGCTCGCCCCAACGGCTCTGAGCAAGTTCTCTTCCAACAGGTTTACTTGACCGAAGACATGTCAGCTACCGTGAAGCTGTTCAAGAATATTGAGAAGGTGGGGGCCAAGGCTATTGTCCTTACCGTCGACTCCCCTGGTGATGGTATCAGGCACCGTGCTGCACGCTACAGTGTCGGATCCGCAGATTCATCCCTCAGCCTTCTCACCTGGGACCTTTACCACAAACTCAGCAACCTCACTTCTCTTCCCATCATCCCCAAGGGTATCCAGACTGTCGAGGACGCTGAGGAGGCCATCAAGAACGGCGTCAAGGCTATCTTCCTCTCCAACCACGGCGGTCGTCAAGTCGACACCTCGCCCTCTTCCCTCCAAGTTGCGCTTGAGATCTACAAGAAGGACCCTTCAATCTTCAACAAGATCGAGGTCTATGCTGATGGTGGTGTCCGCTACGGCACTGATATCCTGAAGCTCCTTTCTCTCGGCGTAAAGGCCGTCGGTGTTGGCAGGCCTTTCATGTTCGCCAACATCTACGGAGCTGAGGGTGTCGCTAGGGCCGCCGAGCTGCTCAGGTACGAGCTTCTCAACGACGCTGCCAACACTGGTATCGCCGATATCAAGAAGATCGGCCCCGAGTACGTTAACTGGAAGGCCTCCAGCATCTGGGTCGGCAGCGACGAGCTCTAGATTGCCTGATATTTGGAAGATACCCCCCCTTCACTTCTTGAATGTACATATATACATGTTTTCTTTTCCAGGTGCATGTACATAATTTTTGCATATAGATTACCCCAACAAACTTTGTTCTTTACCTCTGAACCTGAAATCCTTCACACCAATTCATTCAATTAGTGACGACAATGATGATGACGAAATGCGAAACAAGAAATGAAAATTACCAAGGCCTTACCAATCACTTACGCAACTTTTCACCCCCCGCAAGTCTGGCATTGCATAGGCCAAGCTCCAGTGACATTTTTCCTGTCAGACGGGCCGAGACGCGAGGCTGTCCTTACTACATGGCGGAAAACCTGAACACGGATGCCCTCGGAGCCGAGAAAAACACCGAAAATTGAAAGTCGAACGACTATCAAGTACAACGGTCTTTCGATAACTATACCTAGCTAATAGTACGCTGGATAAAATAAAATACAGCGCATCTGTTTTGGCGACGCTAATAATGCGAATTACTATCAAGTTCGCGCGTCTCTCATGCCGGTCCGAGAGATCGTCAATCAAAGAAACTTTTCCTCTTTAGCGACAAACAGTGCAGCAAAAGAGCACGGCCACTTGATGCATCGGAAGAAAAGAAAAAACAACAACGCAAAAAGCAAGCCACGCCAATAAAAAAGCCCAGAGTGTTTTTCCGAAGTCTCGGATGCGGGGAAATATGATCTGTGTTGTTGCTTACTTTCAGATAGTTCCGTACCAAGTTATACACACACACACCGTATGTGGTTGGTGCGCCGGCAAGACTAGTGGATTGCCCAGATATCTTGGGATGCAGAACGGCATGCTGGTGTTACGCGTTCATTGCTTGGAAGAGGGCGGATGAGTGCAGGGTTTTCTCTGGGGGCTGTGAAGGACGAAGATAGAATGCAGTGACGTCAGTGCATCGACTTGGGGGACTGGGGGACGAATTACGTGAATCGCTGTAGGACAGGGAGGAGAGGGCTGTGCTGGTGTATGTACCGAATACGCCGGGAATCACTAACTTTCTTTCCACAGTTACTCCGTCGGGGGTTTTATCGTACCGTACTCTTGTGTGCCACAGCATCGGATGAGGACTAAAGAGGAGGAAAGAGCGACGCTAGTGTTGGAATGAAAGACAATGCCAGGCCAGGAGATGGTGTAGTAAGTTACGTTAGAGTACCGCTGCAAAGCTGATGGTACAAGAGAAAGGGAGACTAAGAATGCTATCGTAGGAGCTAGTGTAGGTACTGCGAGATCAAAAGAAAAACGAACATATGGCAAGAGATTTTTCGAAGGATAGAATGGATGGTAGTTCCAACCACTGACTCCGGTACGGCAGTGAAATAGCTCGAAGAGCGGCATTTAGAGAAACACTAGCGACCCAGCAACCAGGACCTTGGCGTATAGATGGATTGACGGGACTAGACAGCTGGTCAACCAGGAACCTAAACAAAAATACACACTAATGATCCGACATGGCTCTTACCGAAGAGCAACAAATTTTGATAGTACATGAAGTATCGTGCGCTGTACCTGCATCCTCGCATCGCCGCTACTCCCTCTAGCATAGGAAAAGAAAACATACCCATTCCTCCTTCTAACAAAAAAAAGCTCAATCATACCCAGCAGGAAATAAACCCCAAGGCCCCGCTTCGCGATGCTCCTCGCGCTCAACCCCATCATGCTCAACATGCACATAGTGATAGACCCAAAACGAGCAGTATACAAACGCTGCAAGCCCAGCCCCAAACGCCGTAAGGTACATGACCGCGATCTGCTCCCCCCACACAACGATTAGCTTTGAACTTTCCTTTTCCCTTCTTCTACTCTTATTCCCACCCGGAACAGCAAAAGTAGCAAACAGAAAACAAA